TAACATAACAAACCATTTTTAGGAGTGTTGGTGACGAATGTATATGATATTTGGTTATGCTGAAAATTGAAGTTATTGATTTCTTTTTTCCTTGCACTGTTCATAGTTTGTGTAATTGATGTGCTATTTCTTTCCTTTTTGGTTGGCAGCCCACACTTCATAAACCCAGTATAATGGCACATGTGGTTCGTGTTTTAAAGGGGGAAAAGACAATACGTATGCACTATGCAAATTGCAGGTTGATATTTCACTGTTTTTAAGAGAAAAATATGTCCACAAATGTACACATATTCCACGTGCATGCACAGAATCAATTATTCGAACTTCATGATCAAGTGCAGGGGTTTCCCTAACAAGTTCTACCATTATTAAATTTGGTTGTTTTCATGCCAGCACATATAATGCTGATTTTGATGGCGACGAAATGAATGTTCATTTCCCACAAGATGAAATTTCTCGTGCTGAGGCCTATAACATTGTTAATGCAAATAATCAGTATGTCAGGCCTTCCAGTGGTGAACCACTTAGAGCGTTAATTCAGGTTTCTGTTTTGTTTTATTTTAATGGTTTCCAATAGATTTTATTTCTTCCAGACAGCTTTTTTGCTTGCATGGTTTAGTTGATGTTAAAATAACATTTTATCAGGATCATATCGTAAGTGCTGCTCTCCTGACTAAGAAGGACACTTTCTTAAATCGAGAAGAATTTAATCAGCTTTTGTACAGCTCAGGTGTGTCTGTTGTTGGATTAGGTTCTGCTTCTGGAAAACCTGGCAAGAAAGTTTCTATATGGAGCTCAGAAGGAGACATGCTTCCTATTCTTCCTGCAATCTGGAAGCCAAAGCCTCTGTGGACAGGAAAGCAGGTTAGTTCTGCATATATGGAGCAGTTTAGTACTTGAACATGCAAATGCTTTTAAATTGCATCGGTATATGTGAAAAGGAATTTTCTTCTACATAAATCTGATATTTTCTTCTGGTGCTTCTGTATTTGTCTTGGATGCATGGTTTTTGCCATTCTTTGTTGTCTTTTTCAGTGGGCCCTTAGTTTCAACAAGAAAATTTCTTTGTTAATGGTAATGTTTTTCTTTGGTGTTTATTCTAGGTTATTACTGCTGTGCTAAATCACATAACTAAAGGGTGCCCGCCATTCACTGTTGAGAAAGCTGGGAAACTTCCACGGGACTTTTTCAAAAGTAAATCAATTGAAAATGTGATGAGCAAGAGAAAATGGAATGACAAAGATAAAGTGATGAAAAAGAAACAGAAATCTGTGTATACACTCAGCAAGGAAAGAGAGTGTGCAGACGAAAATGAATCAGAGAAGTTAGTGGATAATGAAGATAAGCTGTTAATCTATAAAAACGATTTTGTGCGAGGTGTGATTGATAAGGCTCAGTTTGCTGATTATGGTCTGGTTCATACGGTACAAGAGCTCTATGGCTCAAATACTGCAGGACTTTTTCTCTCTGCATTGAGTCGTCTGTCCACTGTTTTCCTGCAGGTCAGGTTTCTTTCCTTACTGCGATATAAGTCTTGTATTGTATTCAAGATTTTTTTTTTTTGGTGTTTATAAAACCTATTGAATATTGTTCATAATTTAGATGCGGCATGGACTCACTTGTGGATTAGATGATCTTTTGATAAAGAAAGATAAGGACGATGCAAGAACAAGGCAACTAGAAGAGTGTGATCATATTGGTGAGAAAGTACTTTGTAAAGCTCTTGGAATTAAAGCTGAAGCTAAAATAGGTCCGTTGTTTCCTTAATAGCTGATAAATTATACAAAATCTTTGCAGCACTTCATTTTATGTCTATATCTGTATAAAATTTCAGTATTACTTCATCTACTACTCTCTTTTTATCAAGCAAGCAATGGGGTGTAGGTACACCCATCTTGTTGTTCTAGTTCACAACACATTGAATAGCATGTTAAATATAGTAAACTTATTCTGTAGGCATCTGTTGGAACCTGCCAGCATTATGTAGAAAGATTTGTTGATTGTTCTTTGTTTAACATATCTTCTTAATGAGTCTGTAATATCTTGTTCCTTTCGGCTTTGCAGACCCAAAGGAATTAAAATCAAAAATTGAAAGAACTATATGTAGTGATGGCGATGCTGCCTTGACATCCTTGGATAGGAGCATTGTGAATGAACTGAATCAATGTACAAGCAAGGGTATTATGAATGAGTTGTTATCTGAGGGGTTGTTGAAGCCCACTGGAAAGAACTGGATATCTCTTATGACTACATCAGGGGCTAAAGGTAGTAAGGTAAGTTTCTTGTATTACTTTTTTTTTAATAAGTATTTTTTCTTTAAATACACGCTTCTGTTATGCTCATGGTTCTTGCAAAATAATAAGCCTGTGGTGGCTTTTGGCTCATCTTGATGGTTTTTTTTTCCTTTTGTTTGGATAATCTGGGATTGGTGTCACATAGCGCAAAGGCATAATGGTAGATTGGTTTGAGCTTTTAGAAACTCAAGTGTTCTTTTAGGGCCTTGACATTATTGTTGATCTTTTGTAATAAAGAGAAGAAAGGTTTTGACAACTTTGAAACCCGGAAAAAGGGAAAGAATAGAGTGAAGAGCTCGAGTTTTTTCCTGATTTTTATTTAGGGAGTAACAAATATTCTGATGTATACTCTTTCTATTAAAAAAAAAAAACCATTCTGATGCAGCCTGGAAGCTGATGAACAACCTCTTTGATATTTTAATAGTTTTGTGTCTGTTTTGCTATCCTAGAAATTTTTACATCTTCCCATCTTTGTAGTATGAGGGGTATGGCATATAGGGCTTTGTGTAGAGGTACAATATTTTGTGGTGCTTCGTGATTAAGGCTGGAATGTTTTCGTTAATGCTTTCAGCAAACACGTCCATTGGGATCGGGTGGTGGTCCTATCTTATGTGTGGATCGTTGCTCATGCCTTTTCATGGGGGGTTCCCGTATTTTTCGAAGGGATAGAGCTTCTTTATTTTATCGATATTCCTGTTTGAATTTTCTGTTTTTGTTTATTATAGGGGGACATTTTCTCCTCCCTCCTCATAATATCTTTCTTCTGTAGTCTTCTTTTGTTATTAAAAAGAAAAGGAAAAAAAAAGAGCAGCAACTACTTGCATATGGGTGTACTGAAGTTTATTGGTACTTAGCAATTATATTTTTATGACTGTTAAAAAGAAATCAGGAATACTTTTGAAATAGGTCCTATTATTATTGTTATTTTTAGAAAGGACCTGCTTTTTCTTTCAGTTCTTGGATATTTTGTCAGTAATAAGGTTCTTAACTCATCAAGAGTGGTTTTGGAAAATTCTACCTAATCCATTAGTCAATATTTTAGTGTTCTGAGGATATTTTTTAATAGTAAAAAGTGTTATTATAGAGAAGTGAAGAAAATACAGAAGATAAGAGGTCTTAATGAGAAAGAAAAAGGAGAGGAGGAACAAAAACAAATACATCAATGCTATCTAATTTCTTTGCAAGACAGGTAAAGCGTTGTCCTTATGAAGCCTATGCACCTTAGCTGGTTAGCCCAGATAGACAGAACCAGAAGAGGTCGAGAATAGTCCTTAAAAATCCTTGGATTTCTCTCCAACCACAATACCAATGGAGAAACATGCAGAAACTGCCCCTCTCTAAATTTAAATATTGTTTGAACTGCAGATTCGAATATTGTTTCACAGAAAGGATTCTGTCGTGAACTTGCATTCTGATTCTTTGAAAATTGTTCTTTGTTTAGCGAAGAGGTTAATCATAAATTTTGTTTAGATTATGTTGGATACTCCTGTGCTCTTACATGTTAAATAAAATTTATCTTCTGGTTCTATGTATGAGCATTTATCATAACTGCTTAAAACTAAATATGGCGAAGATAGTCTCTTGATTAATACTTTAATGTTGCGAGTTTTGACATTTTTCACCATTTGCATGGTACTCTGAGCAGGTTAATTTCCAACAAATATCTTCACATTTGGGACAGCAAGAATTGGAAGGAAAGCGAGTCCCTCGAATGGTTTCTGGAAAGACATTACCCTGCTTCCATCCTTGGGATTGGGCCCCAAGAGCTGGGGGGTTTATTAGTGATCGCTTTCTTACTGGTCTTCGTCCTCAAGAATATTATTTCCATTGCATGGCTGGGCGTGAAGGGTACTAAACTTCATCTTTAGTTCATTTTTTCTTTATTTAGAAGAAGTGAATGTTGTATTTATATGATAATATCTTTTTTAAACTTTATTAAGTAGGAATTGCATTCGAAAAAACCATTGTGCGCTAGATGAGTAGTCAAAGTTGTTGTGTTTGTTACGAGATTTGGGCACTTGTTCCGAGTCTCAAGTTGCAAGATCTGCATTATATTCTTACATTAAACTAAACAATGTTTACTTAAAAGAATATTGGGTGATTAAGGCTTCAATGGAATCGACACAAATGTGCAATTTCCTTTATTTGGTTGGTTTTTAAGCACGAGGAAATTCCCTTGACAAAGGATAGCATCCCCTCAAGTCATTTAATTGCAATTCAGGATCCAAGTAAGAACTATCATTACTGGCTCTAAGAATATGTAATTCCATTTTTCTTTAAACACATTATGTCAAAATCGATATTACCACCAGCGAACCAGCATGAGGACCTACTTAGTCGGGATACAACTAAAAAATGTCAAAAGGGCATGTCATGATCGGTTCTAGCTGCTGAATGACCAAATTTGGTGAAGGTTTTTGTTAGATCAGATCATATCTGAAAGGTAGAACTGGCTCGGAGCCAGAATCATTTTGAAACATGTTTAACATACATGCATTATGGTATTTTATCCATCTGCCTGAAACAGTGCTTCCATATGAACTATAGGTCTATAATAATATTGACTTTGTATTCGGGGTTGTTCTGGCTACTGTCTGGCTCCACACCATTAAGTCTATATTTATGTTTCTGAATTTGAGGCATATGGTCTTTCATTATATTATCAATCACTTTCCAAAATTATTCTTCTATTGTAGGTTAGTTGACACTGCTGTCAAAACATCCCGCAGTGGATACCTACAAAGATGCTTAATAAAAAATCTTGAGAGCCTGAAGGTGAGTTATGATTATACAGTCCGTGATGCTGATGGTTCGATAATTCAATTCCAATATGGAGAAGATGGTGTGGATGTTCATCGGACAAGCTTTATTGCAAAGTTCAAAGAACTGACAGCTGTAAGAACTTGTTCTTGATTTTTTTATTTGGAATTTTCTGAAAACTTGTTCTAATTATTTTACTACTTATTTAGAATCAAGATATGATCCTCGAAGCATGTGGTCGGGGGACGACCTTTGATACTTCGAATCATTATATAACGGAATTGCCCTCTGCTCTTAAGAAGAAAGCTGAGAAATTTGTGAAGGAACTCCCCTTAAATGACCGAGTTGCTCTGAATTTAGTCAAACAAGAGGAACTCTTGAAGTTATTGAAGTCCAGATTCCTCTCAAGTCTTGCCCAGCCAGGGGAGCCAGTTGGTGTACTTGCTGCCCAGTCTGTAGGGGAACCTTCGACGCAAATGACGTAAGAAATTTTTTTTTACAGATTATTTCTAGATCAATGCTAGCCAGTGCCTTGTCAGGTAAAAACCATAACAATGTAATGTACTTTTTACCGGGGCCTCAAATTCGTATCCATATTTCAATCTTAATATTTAGGATCTGCATCTTTTTAATATTTTGATTTCTCTTCTTAATCCACCATAGAAAAGGAAATACCTAGTTCTTTGTTCTTTTACAAAAAAAGAAACTAGTTCTATGATTTAGTTTTTGTAGTGAAAATTTCACAGGTGGCTCCATGAATGTGGCACAATATTAAGGCATGTTAAATTTTCTGCATTTTTGAATGAACTTTCTGTATTATCTCTCTCCTTTTCTCATTTTTACTTTAACATGGACGAGATCAGTGGGTATATTCTCTCTCTTTTTTCTCCCATTTATTTGTTCTCTACATGCATTAATTTGGAGATGGTGTATTAACTGGAGGACCACTAATAATTAGATAATTGGAAATTTACTGCATAGTAAGAGTTGCATCTTTTTCATTTTATTTGGTCTGAGAGAGGTGTGTTTTCTTCAGTTTCCCAGCTAGATGATTTGTAGATAAATTATTTGATACCAGTTTTCGTTACTGTGTAAAGTAGCAAGACACGTATTAGATTTTTCTGTACCTTAATGTAAATCTGCGATGAGATTTACTTGATTGGTTTTATGGCTTGATTCTATATTCTTATACTCAGATGACATTAGTATCTTATAATGCAAATCATATGTACCTAATTTTTTCTTTGCTTATTGAAATTGGGATTTATTTTCAGGTTGAACACTTTCCATCTTGCTGGACGAGGTGAAATGAATGTCACACTGGGAATTCCTCGCCTACAGGAAATCTTGATGACTGCTTCGAATGATCTCAAAACTCCAATAATGACATGCCCTTTGCGAGAGGGGAGAACAAAGTGAGTACCTTGCTATTCAATAGTTTATTCTGCTATCTATTAACTGCTTTTTCTTCTTTTTTTTTTGTCATTTAGAGTTCGTTCTGCATTCATCCCAACGAAAAGTGGTAAAAATTAATATTCTCAGAAAGAAAGTTCTTCAAGTGAGATGTTTGTATTGAGGTTCTATTGCTGTAGTGAAAAATATTGGGTTAGATGTTGGCTTAATTTCTTCTGTGTTTGCAAGTTGTCTGACTTGCTGCCAAAATTATATTCAACTTTTAACGGGGCAACACATAGGAGAATTTTATGGTTGGGATGCTTGTCCAACTCAGTGCCTTGTCGGCTGAGGACCGTGGCTCTTTCTCTCTTAAGGAATCTTTCTGGGTTCAGCTCCACAAGTTCACATGACCTCTTATTTTGAGATACAAGTTTCAATAATGTGATATATTTTCTATGTGCAGGGAGGACGCAAACCGTCTTGCTGATAGATTGAGAAAAATTGCGGTAGCAGACATAATAGAGAGGATGGAAGTATCTGTTGTACCTTTTGCCATTCAAGACAACCAAATATGCAGTATTCATAAGCTTAAGATGAAACTGTACAAACCTGAACACTATCCAGAGTACACAGATATTTCAGTTGAAGACTGGGAAGATACCTTGCAGATTTCGTACTTGAGGGAGCTGGAGGATGCCATACAAAATCATCTGGTTTTGCTCTCTAGAATCAGTGGTATAAAGAATTTTTATGCCCGGACTCACGACCAAAGGGCTTCAAATGAGACTGATGAAGATTTTTCTGCCAGTGAATCACGGCGTGTGGAAGATGATGATGATTCTGGTGATGACGATGTTCAAGACGTTGAGGACCTTGGTCAGATGCACAAAAGCGGAAAAAACAAATTCCAGATGAGATGGACTATGAAGATGGTTCTGAAGAGGAAATTAATGAAGAATCTCTCATGTTAGAGTTGAAGGCGACAATTCTGACATTGAGAACGAGGATGAGATTGAAATTAGCAAGGATGATATCATCGAGTTACGGGATGGTAAGGGTGAGGTCTCTAAAAGTTCAGTAAAACCATCAAAGGATGATGCCTTTGAAAGTCAACTGTCTGAAAAACCCTCCCAAGTCAAAGTCACGAGCTGAAAAGACCAAATCAGAAACCAAAAGAACAAAGAAAGTCAAAGCCAAATTTTTCAAGAAGGAAACAGATCGTGCAGTTTTTATAGAAGCCAAGGGATTAGAGTTTGAGGTCCATTTTAAATTTGTCAACGAACCTCATATTCTGCTAGCTCAGGTACTTTCTCGTTGTCATTTATCTTGTCATTCCTTCTGGCAAACAGGATGTTTTTTGCTTATTTCCTTCACCAAGGTTGCACTTTTCTTAAAGAAGAAAAGTTCTGTAGTAAATACCATTACCTGCTTTGCATCATATGAATTGTGAACTTCTCTGGTTGTCTTTTACATTGAGCCATCAGTTGGTTTCCAGATGGTAAAGCTTTAACTATGGAAAATTTTTCATATGAATTGTGAACTTCTCTGGCTGTCTTTTACATTGAGCCATCAGTTGGCTTCCAGATGGTAAAGCTTTTAACTATGGAAAAGCAAAAGTTTGGCCTTAGGCTTTAGGTTGAAGAGGAAAATTTTAGCTCAACTCTCTTAAAATAACTCGCTGGAGCATCAGGTTAAACTGATGAAGTGAATATTAGAATTTATTATATTTATTAAGTAAACAGAATGTGTTTTTTCTAATCCACATCTGTGTTTCTTGACGTCCTGCAGATTGCTCAGAAGACAGCAAAGAAGGTTTACATACAGAACTCTGGAAGAATTGAGCGATGTCAAGTGGGCGATTGCAGTGATGGTCAGGTGATTTACTATGGAAAAGATCCAAAGGATAGAAAAGATATCAAGACCGAAGACAAGAAATCAATTCCGGCACTGAATGCAGCCGGAATAGATTTAGTTTCCTTCTGGCAATTGCAAGATCACCTTGATGTCAGGTACATATATTGCAACAGCGTACATGCTATGCTAAATACATATGGGGTGGAAGCGGCTAGAGAGACCATCATCAGGGAGATAAATCACGTTTTCAAGTCTTACGGGATTTCTGTGAATATCCGGCACCTGACGCTCATTGCTGACTACATGACGCACACAGGGGGTTATCGTCCCATGAGTAGACTTGGGGGCATAGCAGATTCTACATCACCATTTGCTAAAATGTCTTTTGAGACCGCATCCAAGTTCATCCTCCATGCATCTCAGTATGGGGAGGCAGACAACTTGGAGACTCCTTCAGCCAGAATCTGTCTCGGGTTGCCAGTGAAAATGGGCACTGGATGTTTCGACTTGATGCAAAAATTGGAAGTCTAATGCATACTGAAATTGTAAAATTTTGTGCCTCTATTGAAAAAAAAATTTTGGCCTTGGCATGTATTCTTTTAATAGATCTTCAGAATCGACTCTATGTTGAGGAAATTAAGGGAAAGCATTGTATAGCATTTTGAGGTATAATGATACAGTCCTGATATTTTGTCTCATAGTGGTTCAGGTCAATCTTCACAGTTGATTCGTAGGATTATGTCATGATTTTCAATTACATTGACTAATCTTACTTTTATGTTGTTTTTTCTTAGGGAACTTTTTTGTGGGTGTTTATATTTATGAACTTCTCATAATGTATGTATTAAATATAGAAATTATAATTAAATTAAAAAGTTACAGAACAAATTATACAAGAGAGTTGGTAATCACAACACTAAAAGATTGGCTTCCTTCATCCCTGTGTAACACTAGGAGGATGGAAGGCAAGATCAACAAAATCAAGACAGCATCTGCACTAAATTTCAAGATGACGGCTCGGCGCCATCATGAAGCGCACAACAAATAGTTGCTTTGTGATGCCCTTGATATATCTTGATATCTTCACCTGTCGACAACGACCACAGCCTCGCTGTTGTATCCGAAGAAGCTGCATCCATAATGGAGATATACCAACACGTCATGAAAAACGAATATTGTATCATTGAACAAAAATAGGTTTGTAAGTGTCAAAAGGTAATCTAATCCTCTACATGAACACTTGCCCAGAGTCTAGACAGCCATATTAGTCAAATATGTAAGTGTATAAAAAGTTTCTCTATCTTATAATGTTAGAGTTAATAGAATCTCTTGAATCAAGTTTTTTTATCCCATTTCTCTTCAGTGTGAAAATTTTAACCGAACAAAATTCTAACGAGACAATTGGTAAAGCATTAGTCTAATTAATATACTAAACGAAAGCACTGCCCCTCTATGCATGAGCCTCAAGTGGATACCCTTGTAAGTAAATGTTCTAATTTGCAGTAGTAGGAGAACAGACTAGATGATTAGATTAGCTTTGTGAAATTTGATTGTCTCGAATGACATGGTTTCAGATTTCAGCAACACCAGACAATATGGAATGGCAGCAAGCTTGCTACAGGCTAAAATGGTTCGGACAATAATTTATTGGTCTGAAGGTATCTTGTCACCACATAACAATCTTCCACCAAAGCACTGTTCTAACATAATCAAGTCCAAAATTCTTTCATTTTCAATAGCAAATACCTGTTATGAGATAGGCTCCATCAACTGAGAAAACACAGTCCCATACCCAGCGCTGATGTCCTGAATCAAACAAGAACAGTTAATCAAATGCCATGGCTGGCTTCATATGATCATTTGAGAAGTAATTAAACACAGGAAGGAAAATGACTTGGATACCTGTTAGTGTTTTATCTAACGTGAAACCATCAACGTTCCATATCTTCACTGTGTGGTCAGAAGATGCAGTGGCGAGATATCTGGAACATACAACGTATAGTAGCAAATTAACAACAATATGCTGGACCAAAGGGAAGAACATAGACAGATGAAATATACTTGATACCAAGAAGAAAGAATATGAAGACAACAAAGGGAGGGAACCTATGTGGTTCACATAACTCTGGCGAAAGAAGACATTTGAGGATGTATCCATTATGTGCTTGCAGTTTATGAAGGGGCTCAAAGTTGGTCATTGTCTGAAACAAAAACATATAATATGAGAACGACAAAAACGAAAACAATGCAAGAACCAGTAAAATGTAATAAACATGGTAATACCAGACAATTAGATGCAACAAAAAGCTACCTGAGTCCCACGCAACAAACGCCAAACATAACATGTTCCACGATTATTTGCAGCAACTACCAAACTGCCATCCCACATAACTGTCAGAGATCTTACTGCTGTATCCACTTCAGGCACCTAGGTTTTGTTCAATAGAATATGATGTGCTTTGGGTTTACAGCATGATAATCAAAACAAAATATTTCCAATTCTATGCAAAAACTTTTTCGATTTTTATATTCCATGCACATGGCTACCAACTAATTTAAATTGCTAAGTACATGTAGCTATCTTTTCATGATTTGGCTTCTCTGTTAATGTGAGCGAGAGTCTTGATTAGGAAAGTGAAACCCCTGTCAGATATTTTTGATGAACTGATGGGATTTGAATGGGAAAGAGAGAGAGAGAGAGAGAGAGAGAGAGAAAGAGTATAAAGCTTTGAAATCTCAAAGTCAATGTGTCCACCAGTTTTCTCATGGAAATAATTGAAGCCTATATTGAAATGATACTATCCTTTTTTTTATCTGAAGTTTAAGAGTAAAGCTTATATCAGAAGATACGGTAAAAAGTGAAAAATACCAATTCACAGCTGCATGAATTTGCTGTCAAGTCCCACACACGAATATTACCATTTTGGTCTCCAGATATCAGCTCTGTCTGCAAAGTCACAGATAAAAGAGATGAATAAGTTATTGAACAACTGAAATTAATACTGTCATGCATGTAATATGCAAAAATTTTATGGGAGATACTACAACATGAAAAGTAACAGAGTTTCCTAAAGACTTTTCAGGAGAGTCGGAGCATCATTATCAAAGTGAAGGAACTAATCAGCACAAAACCAAGCCAATTTTCCTTAGGTAGTTTGTTAAAGCCGCTACTAAGCTTTCCAAATATCTGAAAAGATGCCAATGATCTACACATCTAGAAAGTTTATACAAATAAGATGTGAATGAAAAAACAAGAAAAATATGTAGCATTTGATCTTTGCATCTCTCATTTTTACAACGATATTATTTTAATATACTCAACAGCCTGTTTGACACCATTGTCATTAGCAGCAGGAATTTCCAATTGTCAACATAAGCATCAAAATCACAACTGTCTTCACCATGTGGTATTGAAACTTCTTGTCTCTACAGCAGATTGAAGATATGAGTCACCCACAGGAGCCACCAGATGTCACAGTTTTTTTTGTTTTTTTTCCATGAGCCTGTTTTCATTTTTGCAGATTAAGATTTCGATTTTGGCTCTCACATTTTAACATTTGATCTTTGCAGCTCGAAATGGCAAGGATATCATAAATCCACAAATTTCATCAGAAACCTCCCAAATTAGGTCAGCTATATTGATCATATTCTGGTTTCAAAACTCAAATTATATGTAGTGACAAAGAAGTCTATAACCCAAATATTAGAAGGTCAAATGTACTAAACTAATAAACCAAATCCAGAAGAGAATCTAAGCCAAACTTTATTGCTAACAAGCTGGAAGGAACAGGAAGAGTTTTTCCTCCAACATATGATAGCATATTATAATCGTGGCTGAAACTGTTTATTTGACCTGATTTGGGTGTAAGACAACAGTGTTAACAGCAGCACGACTTTCGTACTCCCTTTGACAGCCTGGAGCCCTGCACATGTAATAGATAAAATTAGTCTAGATAATATTCAAAAGGTCACCAACCTATAATCTTACAAGTATGTAATGGCACCATGTCACCCATATTTTGGGTAATTGGACTTACCTCAAGTCCCAAATTCTCACTGTGCCATCTTCAGATCCTGAATACATCCAGTTTCCATCACACTGAAAGCCCACTGCCATAACGTTACTAGTATGAGAATCATAGCTCATCACCTGCCATGTTAAGAAAATGGGGGAGGAAAAATAATGTCATTATTAGCCAACAGAGAAGGTGCCTCACTGACATATAAAAACAAAGCAAAATAAAACAGGCACATACCGGCTGAGGACTACTGGAGTTAATATCAAACAGACGGATATGAGGATTGCCTGCTGCTGCCAGGAACCTTTTATGTGGGGTTATCTCAAGTCGATTAACTTGCTGTAAGCATCAGAATACAAACTTTGTTAGATTGGGTGAATTTTCATTTTCATTTCTTTGATACCCTCTTTCTCCCATTTTCATTCCTTTTGAAATATGAAAGCAATAGACCCAGTTTCCGTCTTATTTCTTAGTAGCTAAAAAGAGAGAAAGACTATATTTAGGAAGAGGGAGACTATGTTTGGAAAATATTTTTAAATGAAATGGAAGGAAAATGAGAGTGAATATTCCAACCTTATTTTCTTTCAAAGGATATGGAAGGAATGAAAATAAGAGTAAAAAATACTATGTTCTAGGGATAAAATGCCTCGCTCTCTTTCAAAAAAATTCAATGACTAGTCTCTTTTTATTATGCCCTTCATTTATAAGGAATAAACATATTATTAGTCTGTTAAAATTACTAATTTGCATTCTCCTCCTTTTCAACTCCTGTCTAAACAAGGCAAATTAGTTTACTCTCATTTCTGTCTTCCTATCCCAACAAGAGAGTAATTCATGTTAATTTCGATTTCATTTAGTTCTATTCCAATAATTTAGTAACTCATAGAACATAACATTGTACACTAATTGAATCATTTTACGAACAATTTAAGCATGGAACCAGACTTCAAGCAAACTTGCATAAAACATGCATGCATCAATGAGATTAATACTAACCTTGGAAGTCAAATGCTATTGTATATAAGGGTAAGTTTAGTTCAAATTTCAATTTTAAGTAATAGAATAAAAATAACATTCTAATTCTAAATCAATTTCATGTCCAGTTCAAGTTAATTGTTCTTGTAGCTCATCTCTTAACAAGAGTAAATACATATCCATCATCGTGGAATTAAATATATGAGTTGAGCATGCATCAAATTTATAAATTGTGATCAGAATTTCTATGCCAAAAAGTTAGAATCTAATAATAGAATGATAATAGAATGAACCAAACATGTGTTACT